CATATCCTTTTTTTTGTCAAAAGGGAGACGACTACATACAACGAATGGTGAACTTGGCCACAACTTCACAGAAAGCACAGTGGGCTTCTTATTTAGTAGCTCAAGGCATCAAAAAAGTAAGAAGCCACACTCGACTGAACAAGAACTTATTCTCCCAGCAGCAGTGGAAATGCGTTACGTTGTCCTGGGTGCAGACGCAGCTACTAAGCTTAAAGCTGTTCCACTTTCCAACGACACTGTTAGGAGAATAACTGAAGAACTCTGTTACAGCTACTGGATAGACTGTGTTCATGTGAGCAATTTTCTGTTCAGTTGGATGAATCCATGGACATTTCTGCTGCAGATCAATTAATAATTTTGGTGCACTACCCCTGGGCATTTTGGTGGACTTCCAATTCTGCAAGGAGGTGCTGGGCAGGACAACAGGTAAGGAAATATTCAAACTTTTATTTTAACATGTTAACATTATGTTCATTGGGTGAATAGGTAAAGTTTTAAAGTGGTTTTAATACTGTTAATTCTACAAATATTTACTTGATATTACTACTGTTATTAAGTTTCTGTTTAGTTTTATCTAAAAGGTTTTCTGTGATAATTTGAAGGTGGCAGTACATTGATTATATTCATTTTGTGAATAAGCAACATAATTTCTAAAAACTGTACTTTTTGGAAGTTGAAATAAAAAAAAATGATCAAGTGTGTCTTGATTGAAAAATATCCCATGTTTAAACTAGTATAGACATTGTATAAACACTTAAAGAACAGGTCATAAGTAATTACGTTACACAAATATTTCCATGGCTTCAATTCAATTCAATTCAAAATATTTTATTGATCCCAAAGGGAAATTACATGTTGTTATTCATGATCCTGGTTTCATTAAGAGTTGTTATGCTGATCGCTGTGGTCAGGAAGGATCTCCCACAGCAATTTGTCCCGCAGCAGATCTAAATAATCTTGCTGCAGATGCTGATCAGTCCACCTGGACCCAGTGGGCATCTCAGTCCTCCTAGGCAGCAGGACCACCTGAATGTTGGGCAGAATTCCTCCCTGAGTGATGGCCACTCTTCTCATCAGCTTGTTGACCTCTTCATCATTGCAGACAGCCAGCTGCAGGTGTCGGGGATGATCCTAGTCTTCTTGTTGTCCTGAGCCGCATTTCCTGCCAGCTCCAGGATTTAGCAGTCAATCACTCGAGCATCTCTGTCAGGTAGATGGAGATGCATCCATGGCACCTCCTTTACAACTCATTTGGGATTTGAGGCTGTAGTTGAGGAAATAGTTGAGCTTTGAGATGTTAATCAGCTCCTCCCAGTTGTAAAAAAAAAACACATTGGTGTCATGGTTACGCTTCATAACAAATGTCCAAAAGTAAAAATGTTTTCACAAAAAAACCTTCCAGCTGCACACCACCAGATCTGACGGTGGGCTGGATCCGGGTGGACAGATTGGTACCTGTGGTCGGACTCTTTGGAATTGCTGTGAGAGATCCTACTTGCCCACAGCTATCAGCATCTATAACGACTCTTAAATGAAACCAGGATGATGAGCTACAACACTTAATTACCCTCTGGGATTAATAAAGCATTTTTGAATTGAATTGAATTTTTATTTTCCTATTTTATACTTAAACCACCAATATTTTGGGGTTATTTAAACTGCATTAAAATCTGAAAAATTTCAACTACTGGCTTATGAAAAACCCTAAATTGCAAAAAACCCCAAAAAACAAATACTGTATACAGAATATATACAACAAAAAAGTTCCCACGGACTGTCTACATTTGCACATGCTGCTCAGATTATTGTGGTTAAAGTATTTTATATCTCAGATACTGTACATTATCAGTTTTAGTCCTTTTTGTTATTCTAAAAACATAAAAATGGTCTCAAGTAACTGGACTTTTAGTTTTAGTCAAGTCAAGTCACATTTATTTATAGAGCACATTTAAAACAGAAACAGTTACCAAAGTGCTTAACAAAAATATCACATCAAATAAAAAGTAACAAGATATATTTACAGCACATGGAATAAAATATAAAACAGAAAACATAATTAGAAACAATGAGATACTGTATATATGTATATAGCCATCATTTTCAGGTTAAATATATAATTAAAGTGCTATGTGTTGTCATCATTGCATGTTTCCATACAATGGCAAAATTGATTATCTGCATTTAACCCATCACACCTGGGATACACCCAGGTGGAGCAGTGGGCAGCTATATATGCAAGTGGGGAGCAATCAAGGATAGGGTGTCTTGCTCAGAGACACCACAACATGCAGGAATGGCTGTGGATCAAACCTGAGACTTTTGGGTCCCGAGTCGGCTGTCCTGCCTCTACCCCATCTTGGCCCACAATTTTGGAAGGACAAATTTCAAAGCAAAATGTGTTAGGCTAATTAATAAGAGTGAAAAGCATTTTCTTTGTTTTCTTTTACCTGACAGTCTGATTGACACCCCGCTGGTCTCCAGTAAAGTGACGTTAACTCGGCCACTGCTGGCATTAAACCCAGTGACTGTAAACGTGGTGGCCTGCTTCTTCCCCAGATACTCGTAGAAACCACTCCACTCAGAGGTCGGAGAGAAGACATCAACTGGAACTACATGAGAGAGAGAGAAATACATACAAAAAACTGTGACGTTTACAATTACTTAAATGAAAAGATGCAAATGCATACTGGTATGTTTGGTAGATATTTTATTGGCATTTTTTTCCCCTCAAACAGCATTAGTATGAAAAAAAAATGAAAAAGGATGATAGTAAGCGAAATCTTAGAATGACAATTACCAAAATGTGTTGAGTTCTTTTGTGCCTACACATTTCCTGGATCACTATCTGCCTGCATGAGTCCCACAATGATTTTGAAACATGACTCATCTGAAACCTCATTGTTGCAATTTTCTCACTAAAATTGCCTAGCTTCCATCTTTTTTTTTTCTGTCTTTCCTAACTGAATATACAGAAAATTATTTAAGACTTGAAAATGTTTCATGGTGTTGCAGATGAATGTTTTCACTTATTTATTTTCTTCCATTTGAACCTATGAGAAGTCCTCCTACAACTTTGGTTTAACTTTCATCATTTCTTGAAGGCTGCTTATCCACACTGAGATGCAAAACTAATACACACTGAAACATTTTATCTTAATGTTTATGACAGTCTGAAAAAAGTTTTACTTGACAGTTACGATTATTTAAGAAAAAGCAACAAAACACACTCTTATAAATTAAAATTGAAATGGGGCAAATAGAGGCTGCAGTGAAAATGAAATATTGTAAGTCCTACAAACCACGAATTTTGTTCTTCTGCACATCTGAATCTCTGTCTTTGGGATTTACTTTCACTCCAACTGAAAAATACAAAGAGTATAATGTTTAGTTTTACTTGCATGGCATTTAAATATTGAAAATAGTACACAAAGTGCAGACATAATGGAAAATAAAGATTTCACATGTAAAAACTCTAAAGAAACAAGACTTGTACAAGATTCTGAAAAGAAAATAATATTAAATTTTTATGTTGTATATTTGTTATGTAATACAGTAGTCCCTCGCTACTTAGCGGTTCGACTTTCGCGGACTCGCACTTTCATGGTTTTTCAACAATTGTCATCTTTAATATTATTCATGTGATTGGGGCGTTATGGGATAAAAAGTTAACCAAAAAAGTACTTCAGACAGGTGCCGCCATTTTGTAGTTTTTTTTCAATAAGTCTACACTGTAACGCCAGTCAAAAAGAACTACACTACCCAGAAGCCAACAGTGCTTCCGGCCGCTGCTTTCTGCCGAAATGGAGGGAAAGTTTTCCATTGCAAATCAATGCTATCTTTTAAGCTCACAGAACTGGCAGGAAATCACCAATAATCCTGAAGCTTCCTGAAGCTCAATTATCCACACGTACATCAACCTGGATGGGGTGGTGGGCTTCTTCGCTGCAGGGTATGTTTGCCAAACTGGAACTGAGCTGCTGTTCTGCAGAGCTGGTGAGTAAAATTTTGCAGAACTGTGCAGTACATATACATACGTATGTTGTTAAAAGTATGTAGGTTTAAGAGTTTAGAACATTGCAAGAGTGGTTAAGGTTTTATAAAGCCTTAAAATGTACTAAAATAAACATAGCGTTCTTACTTTGCGGTTTTTCACCTATCGCTGGGGTGTGTGGAACATAAACCCCGTGATAATCGAGGGGCTACAGTATATTGCTTGAAACTGTACAACATCAACCAGGACACTAAGAGTCATCATTGAGAATTAAGTGGGAATATAGAAGATGACTCTAGAGGCCAATTGGACAAGTCAGCATCAAGTGCATCATATATGACGGGGATGCTCTGTTCCAACTCCTGTTCTGCATGGGCCTGAGCCCTCTCTGACAGATAATCAGAGATATGGATACTGGTTCCCAAATGGAACAGCCATCAGTTCCCTTTTACATGGACGACCTCAAGTTGTATGTTAAAAATCAGGGAGCCATCGACTCACTGATCTTCCTCATCAGGATATACAGCAAAAACATTGGAATGTTATTTGGAATGGATAAATATAAGTATTTCTTAGTTCATATCTTAGAGCTTACTACTGTTTTTTCTTTACAATTTGTATTTTTGTTGTATGTAACTGGGACCCTGTGCACATAGTTTCGTTCCACCTCATGTACCACATGTGATGTGAATGACAATAAAGACACCTTGACCTTGACCTAAATGCGGTCAGACAGTATACAGGAGAGGTAAGGTGATCACAGCTGAAGACCTAACTCAAGGAAATATTGCAGATGTCCAGAACAGCTGCAAAAACCTTGGGATCCCACACACAAATAGCAATCATATTGAGACCAAAAGGAAATCAGCCACAACTCAGTAAATACAGACAGCAAGGCAGGTCACGAAAATGACCGGTCTTTGTAGAAGTACACATATTTAAATAATATCACTCCAGTGTTCTGACTGAGACATCCTCAAAAGCACAGAAATTACATCAAGTTGATCGGCATTTATCTGTCCAAACCAAATACGTCTATTGCGTCATTAAGATTTTAAGCGCTTAAAAAACAACAGTGTATTTTTAAGGTAATACGTAAATACCTTTACATAATGGTGGCTTTCCTGACCATCTCCCATCATTTTTACATGTTCTGTGCTCTGATCCTCCTAACAGATAGAAACCTTCCTGGCAGGTGTAAATCAGTGTATATCCCAGCGTTGGCAGGTCCATGGATCGAACATCTACATTACTCGGTGTCTCTGGCTGTCTGCACGAATGAGCTGAGTGATGGGCAAAATAAAAAGACGTAAGCTGACAACAAAATCACCTACAATAGAACAGACAAACTGCTAGCTTGATTTTTTTTCATTTTTATGACGACAAATATCAGTTGCATCTACTTTGAGGAGTTATTTCCTTACCTATGCATTCGGGTTGAGTTCCACTCCAAGTAAGATTTTCCAGACACGTTCTCGTTGTTGAACCAAGGATGTGGTAGTTTTTGCGGCACTTGAAGGAAATCTTGCTGCCAACCTGTATATCATAACACAATATTAGATTAATGCAAGTTCATCTAAGATTAACAATGTGATTTTACCTTACAATTAAATAATTTTTATATTTTAGGTACTTTTCTTTCAATGAGCGTAATACTGACACCCTTGATATGTCAGATCATCTCTATTTTTTATTGGTTTGCATTAATAATGATTTACTTTTTAAACCGTACTAAATCCTCTTGCCCTCAACCCCATGGAAATGCATTGATGCAATGTAGCAATTAGCTGAGTCATTCAACTTGCTTTCATTTGACACCTTTTTCACAGATTTAATGCTTTCTTTTATCTTGGCACATCCTCTTATTTGATTAAAGTGGTAACACTGCTGGGTTTTTTTTTTTCAAGTCAGCTAAACGTTTAATGCAGCCAATTCATCCTCACATGCTTTTCATTTCTCTTTGAAAATTTAAAATGAGCATATTTTATATTTAATTTTAGAACATTAACTAAAATATCCTACCCAGAAACCATGAAAGGGTATTTTATTAGCAGCTGGTGTAACAGAGAGTTCACAGTGAACACAAGTGGTTCTCACCTGGAAGCCCTGGGCCATGATCGGGATCCCATAGGCTGGAGTTCCTGGATCACGACAGCTGTTGAGAACTGGGTCTGTATTCACAATGCAACACAAATGTAAACAATAAGCAAAACGTTATATGTTGTTCTTCTAATACAAGTTAAAAATGGAATATGATCATTTAAACAGTCTAAACATACGTCTTCTCTGTTTTACAGAAGAACAAAACTTGTATAATTTGTTTTAGATAGTTTTAGATTTTCTTGTTATTCATACTTTAAAAGAAATTGAAATGTTAGCATTTGAATGCCTCATCTGTAGAGTTTTGTGTGTATTTTTTTTAGGGCTAAAATAGCCAATAGGTAATAAAATCAATATGCAGTCAGACCTACTTGTACCTCCCTCAGAATAGCGATGAGTTTATTATACTTTGTTGTGCAAAATGAAACACAACGCAAAACTAAAGCAAAAACATTAATTTTAGGGGGAAAAGTAAGATAGAAAATAGTTGATGACTAGCAAAAACACAATAAAACAATTCCAAAATAAGCTTTCAAGTTAAAGTTACCAAAGAAATATCAAATCATCTCAAACAACGACAACATTAAGAATAATAACAATAGGTGCAAATATCTTTTCTTTTACACCCCTCTGTATAATAAATTAAATAAACCAAATTTCCTTTGATGCGCTGGTGATTTGAATAATTTGATGGCGTTGCACACACTGTCCACATTTTGAAACGTATCACATATTGTACATTTACCATGTTTTTGAAGGTAAAAAAAAAAAAAAAAAACTGTTTTGCGTCATTACCTATACAAGTTGGTTGTTGGCCACTCCAACTTCTATCTGCCTGACAGACTCTGGCAGCTGAACCCACCAACACATAGGGAGCATGGCAGTAGAACCTGACCTCTGACCTGTAACAAATGTTTACATAAAAATAACAAGGGAATAATAAATGTGACTGGAAGACATCATTAACAGCCATATAGTCCTACAGATTATTATAAGGACAAACTAGCTATGTTTACATGTGTAAAATTCTTTGACCGGATTGAAATATTTTCAGATTAAATAATTCAAATGTATCGTTTACATCGGCACAATCCGTTCACGATGAGCGTTTACATGCAGCGGGCTTTTATTCTGAACAGAAGTACTGACTGACATGTGCAGAGTGGTAAACTCTCCTTAAAAAAAGAAAAAAAAAACACAGAAGAAGAAGTTCTACTTCCGGGATGAACCTAAACAAACCTGAGTGCCCAAAATGGACCTGCGACAGGTTTTAATGACGGTGGAGTCGTTAATGCACTCCCTGATTGAGCTGCAGGTATTACAGGTAATTTTGAGCTCTTTCAAAGATTCTAGTAGAAATGTGTCGCTCCCAGTTTCACTTCCCTGACATGCTAATGTTAGCATCTAGACATGAGGTAGACATAGGTTGCACATGCACAGTCAGGTCAGTTTTCCACAATCAAAAAAAAAAAAAAAAAAAAATCAACAGATTAAGTGTTTACATGCACACCGTTCGGATTATGAATGGGCATAAACCACCTGTCTCATTCTGATTACAAATTATTTCGGATCGAGCCGAATCAACAAAGGATAATCCAAATGGGGCGTTTACATGATGCAGTTTTATTCTGAATGGCCATTTAATCTGATTACTTATGTCCATGTAAACATAGCTACTGTAAATATAAACAAAACAAAACAAAAAAACAGGTAAAATGATCACTAACCGATAAGAGAAGGTATTCCCTTCTCTGAATCCTCCTCCAGGAGAACCTGGATCGCCACACAAGACAGCTAGAAAAAAAAAACAACAACAGTAACAGAACTTTAGCTGATGTAAATGTCTATAAGCAATGACAGAGCTGTACATCAGCCAAACTTCAGTGTAGTGCAGTTTACAGCCATAGACTGTCAAGTGATAACTTACGCAAACACTGTGGAACATCTCCTGTCCAAGTCCCATTCCCTTCACAGGTTAAGACAGCAGCAGTGAACAACTGGTAACCTTGAAAACAGCTGTAGCTAACACTGGATCCCCAAGAATGATCAGTCCCTTCCACCTTTCCATGAAGCACCTGAGTGGGTGGGCCACACTGAATCACTGAAACAAACATGCAAACATGACACTTAATGTAATTAAGATAATATATGTTATTTATAATTATATATAATTAAGCTAATTTACATCTGCACAGTGTGTTAATGCAGTTTAGATTGTCTTGTTTTGGTGTATGTAGATACATCACACCACTAAGGAAACCCATCCCACCGTCATCATCTTCACAGCAACTCTATATAAAGATTACTAATGCTCCATGTTAATTATATGAATTCACACAAAAATAAACAAATAAAAATAATAATCTACGGTTATGCATTCTCTCACAAACATTTCTGTGTCCACTATGATCATTATTAAGATTTAGCTTAAAAGTCTAACGCTACCAGTCTTCTTGAAACAATATGACCATCAACAGTACAACTAAATTCTGTCATACAGTGAAAATTTAGTAAGAAATACATATTTAAAATTGTATGTAAACCAGAAAAACAAACAAACAAAAGGCTTTTAGAAACATGCATGTTTCTATTTCATTGAATCAGAAGATTAAGATTAAATTAAGCACCAAAAGGCTATTAATAGCTTCGCAGGAACATGGACAGCAAAAGAACTATTGGCAAGAAATATTTTGTGCAAGTAACAGTTGTGTGACAAGGTTTTGTTGACAGTCCTTGCTAAAAATAAATACAATAAATCAAAACTTTTTTTTTTATTTAGGGGTAGGTGTGGGGGTTAAAATATGTTATTGATGCATCATTTAGCAGATATGGGCAAATCTGAATAGGGTTTTAAATGTCAAAAATCATTATCACTAGCTAAAATGTTTATTTTTTTTAATGTCTTTTAAACATGATTTGTGTAAAGTATTCTGTGGCAAACATGATGCTAATCACGTTAGGTTTTGTATGACACGTTGATAATTTTATATTGCAACCATCATAAGTGTAATTGAATTAAATTGCAATACTTTTACAGTTTAGTCTATTAAATAATATTTTTTTGTTAATTATTGATTTCTTATAAAAGGAGACAGAACAACTTTTGGTAATAATTTAAAATGGCATAACTGATGAAGTGCAATTAGAATTATTTGATCTTGGCCTTGCACAAATGAACAATCTGCATATTTTGCCTAATATAAAATAATGCACTAAATTTTGCTTGTGTGCTACACATGACCGTTAAGTATTCACAGTGAATGAAGAAAAAAAAAGTACTCCAACCCTCGTATTTAACAATTGATTGAAGATGGATGCATCATTATCTGATGAGTGTTTTGATTAGCTCCTGCTTTCATGCACTTTTATTAATTGAAATTGGAGATGTTTTAATCACAGATTATCTGAGTAATACTCCAATAATTTATGATCTATTTGGAAATCCATCAATCTATTTGCTTTACTCATTTTTTGAAGGGGTGGGGGAAGTTTTAGTGCCTTTCTCCAGCAGCCGATGTGTGAAAGGCAAGGTTCAGACTGGGCAGGTATTGCTTGAGAGACATATTGGACAGATCACATATTCATCACAGTAAACAAGACAAATTACTCAGTCTCACTCATACACTGTAACAATTTAAAGTTACCAATTAACCTAATATCCATGATTTTGACCTGTGAGAAGAAGCTGGGGTACACAGAAAAAATCCACTCATGCACAAGGACACATGCAATCTCCACACAGAAAAGGCCAGGGTGTGAACCTGTGACCTTCCTGATGTGAGGCGACAGCCCTAACCACTTCGTTGCCATGCCGCTCAATTTAATTCATATCCTCCCTGTGTTATGTCGTCAGTTCATGCTTCATTGAGGTTCTGTTCCTCAGCTCCCATCCTACTCGCTTTCACCTGCTCCTAGTTATCATTTTGCCCAGGCGTCTCCACTCCTCTCATCAGCCCTTGTCTATAAAGTATCTCAGCTTTTCACTTCACATCAGTCTGTCATTGTGTGCTTATGCCATGACTGGTTCTCCTCCATGTTTTCCTCCTTGTCTCCTCGAGTTGTTTCTGTAAGTTATTGTTGCCACTTTAGTATTTTATTTTTGTGTCAGTATGAGTTCATGAGTCCACTGACCACAAGAGGTGATTCAATGACATCATAGTTTACAAAAAAAGGCTGTATTTACATACAAAAATGCAAGGGTGGCATTAAAAGATTATTTTCATCCATAAAAAGAACTAGTTTTTTGAGTTCTTAAAATACTGTTCGTTTCAAAACAAGTCAAGTTATAAAAAAACATTTTACATTTTCTTATAAAGATGTTACCATATGAACTGGGCCTGGGATAACTTTTTATTGTTTAGGCTTTAAGAAAACTAACATGTCGACTGTAATTTTCAATTGATCATTTTTGTTGCTTTTTCAGCCATTAGTGGATTATGTTATATTGATAAAATAAAGTTCAGATCAAGCAGCTCTGAGTTTTATATTCATATTCTAATTTATTGATTGATTCATTAATTACTGATTGGGCTTTTTATGCTGTTAACTTTTAGGATCATGATAATCTTTATCCTCATAATTTGTAAACCAATCAAACTATTAATGTAGAAAAAATACATACGTTTTAAATCATATAATTAAACAAAACTTAAAAATACAGATACCTTTCTACTGTTATTCATTGTTCTACATTGAATCTAAAATATAATGTGATGTCTATGTATGTATGTGATGTTATGTGCATCAAAATATTATTATGTCTTTTTTACATCTGATGCTCACGTTGTGGGATTATTTTTAATATTGAAATTGGCAGTACACAATGATGTGAGCAGTTTGTGATAGGTTTAAAATCTGAAAAAAAAAAAAAAAAACAACAACAATAATGCCTCTTTATTGTTTGACAACATACATAATAATAATATTAACAATGTATACATCAACTTACAATGGATGTAATGCACAATTATAAATGTGCAGATGACTTCATGACATGATAAATATCTCTGTGTGTGCATGTAACTAACTCCCAAATGATAGCCATCTGCATAGCCTCGAACATCTCATAACGCGGGTGTAATTTTTGTCTAAGTAGGAGACAGATGGTGTCATGCTCCATTCACACTGCTGTAATGAGACACAGTGCACACATGCATACAAAAAATAGTGACAAACAGACACAAGCTTTTCTTTTTGGGATATCCGTGACGTTCAAAGCCAAAATTAGTGAGATGATAATCATTTTATGAGCTGCTGGGGTATCCAAATACTACAGTGTTAAAAATATTAAAATAAAGATGTTTCCCATCAGTTTAGCTTATATATGTATTTTAGTAACATTGTGGTTTCAAGGCAATAGCAACAACCAGAAGCAAGGTTATCAGCATAATAATTCTGGCTTTGGATGTCACATGCATCCTTAAGAAGCCTTGCCAAAAAGTTGTGATCTGAAACAAACAAAAAATAACATTACATTTTCATTTAACTTATTCTCCACTCTACAATACTTTCTGATAACTGGTAGTACTTGTCCCACGTAAAAATCTGCACACCTGCAGAGTCATTGCCAGTTTTGTAAAGTAGTTCATCATTTTATTGCTTTGTGACTCCGGGAACAATAGCTGAGGTTGGCCAGAAGCTAACGGGGATTCAAATTAATCACTGTATGAGTGTTTTCTTCTCCATAAAAACAACTTTGTTATTATCGAATCAACTCCAGCTGTCTAAAAATGGAAGAAAACACTCTTATTGACTACAGCACTTAAAATTCAAGGCCAGCGTTTCTGCTCTGTGATGCTTGAAGAACACTTGTGGTTGCAACTGAAGGTTTCTAAAACCGTTTTATTTCTTTCCACGTCTCCACGTTGGTTTTCACTTGCACGTCACTTGGTCACTTGTCTCCTTTCTGTTTCCATGCATTATTAAAACCTACTGAACCTGCTAATCCTTCTGTCCAAGGGTTTCCTCTCTTTCACGCCCTCCCCTTTGCTCTCTCGGTCTCCTTCTCACGCCATTTCAGCCATTTCCCCCGTTTCCCCCCTCCTTTGGTTTGTTAGGTGTATTTCTCTTGGTACAATTCAGTCAGCCAACACGTTTTATGAGCCTAATTTCTTTTCTCACGGTGTGTTTACAGGTTTGGGGGCAGGTATTGATTTGCCTCTCTTGATCTTTCCCATCACTCACTTCCTCTCTCTTACCTGTTTCACGTTTGCATTCTTCTTCTCACCACACTGGCGCTCATTACATTTTCCTCTTTTTCTTTTGTGTTCACTTCTATTTTCCACAACACATTTTTTCCCCTCTAATTTCTACATTTCTCTGATTTTTATTTATTTTTCCCCATTATAAAAACATTCAATCTCTTCAGTCCTTCCTTCTCTTCCTTTCTTTTAACACTCGAGGTTATTTCTTTTGGTCCAAAAAAAACTATCATCTCCTACAATTACTTTAATTAGTAGATTTATTTTTATTTAAGAAGACCTGGCAACACTGATCTTGTAAGCTCACGTGTCTGTGGATTTATATATACAAAAATTGGTTCCACAACAGGGCAGAATAAACACAAAGGGAATGCAATCAAGGAGAATAAACTAAAACGTACAATAACCCAACTGAGGACCAAAGTGATGAAATGATCAAATGAAATGAGAGAAAGAAATGAATGTGAGCTTAAAGCAGTTTTCTTCTCATCCTGTTCTATTCGTCTCATACTCCTATAATTTCCATTTTCAGTTTCCTGTTTCCAAGTCATTGCCTATCACACACGTCTCCGTTTTAACTCTCTCCATCTTTCTTTGGTTCTCTTTCAGCCCAATCTATCCTTGTTTTCTGTCATTTTTTTCCCCATCTTAGTTCAAAGTCTTTGCAACCGATAAAGCCAGCAGGAGTTTCTGTTTGTGAAAAGAGGCAGCAGGGAAGGGGAAACATTCCCCTTCTTCTGTTGTTGAGAATCATAAGTCTAAACCAGGCTGTTGTACAGTACAACACATTTTCACTAAGCCTATTTTTTTTACTTTCTGCTTGTGCTTGTGGAAGAACAGAAGACTTTCATTGAACAGGGCATGATTTAATATTGTTAGTGTCAGGAGGTTAATCTTCCTGTGTCCCAGACTTCCTGCTTCAACCCACAATTCCAGTGTATTTTCAGTAAATCAGCTCACCTTGAAACAGTTTATTTTATTTTATTTTAAACTCACTTAAATTATAGCTTTCTATGTTTTTCTACAGCAACAGCAACACTATCATAACAACATTTACCATTTAACATCGTTCAAAATTATAGGCAAACGTGGTAAAAGTTCAGACAAAACAATTTTCACAGCTTCCGTGACCCGTAAAGGAAGAATGGGGTAAAGATAATGGATGGATGGATGGATGGATGGATGGATGGATGGATGGATGGATGGATGGATGGATGGATTTTCATAGCTCTTTTGGAGAAAAAGCTCACACCGACAAGTGATTCTATAAATCAGATTCTTTTCAATCAAAATAAGAGGTTCTTTAACAATTTCAGTGTAGTACCAAACACGTAGGAAAATATTTAGTAAGGTTTTGCGACTGTTACGAAGTCAGTGTTGGTATAAAAAAAGCACCGTTTCAAAATCAACAAGTGAATATCGTAGGCTAACCCTAGAGCAGGACAGCTGTGATGATGTCACACAGATTTCTCTTATTATAAAATACTGACTGTTAGCATGTTCTTTTGTTTGTCTCCTCTCTAATTGGTGCTGCTTTGACCAGCATTGAAATGAGCTTCTTACAAATCTGTGCTTAAACATCAGAGCACTTTTGGATTCTTACCTGTAGAACTGCAACCCCCCCCCCCCCCCCCCACACACACACACATTTGCCTGCAGAGCTATTTCTAACTAGCAACCATATGCTAAACTGCACCAGACACTAACAATCACTAACACTGCTTCTTAAGGAACAGTTTTTGATACCTTTGCAGCTGGGTTTGGTTTGGTTCCAAGTTCCATCCTTAGTGCATCGCAGAACACCAGGCCCAGGCAGTTCCATCAAATGACCAGGGTTACAGCGGTAGGATATTGTGTGGTTAAAGGTAAAGTCACTGCCAAAATAGATGCCGTTGGCTACTGGACCAGGGTCCCCACAACCGATCACTACAGAAACAAAATGAAAACTTTGTTGATAAAGTACAAATAAGAAAAACGTGTCTGCAGAAGCGCACAAGGACTTTTTATTGGCATGTCTGTTGAATTTGTTCTTTTTACTATAAATACAACTTAACTCTCAATCATGGTGTGGAAAACATTTTTATATTTCAACACTTCTTCCATACAGACAGCCTCCCTTAACTCCCCTGATATAAACGCAGCTTTATTTCTTCTACCTCCTACATCCTTTTCCCAAAATGTCTGTCTGCCTCTACTAAACTAAAGTTGGATTATCTGTCACACATTCACCCCCCCCCCACCCCACCCCCACACCCCTCAACTTTCCATGCACTAGATTCTGCATATCAGTCCATTAGATACTAATCCAAGATCAGTTTATACCACCTTTCAATCTACTTGAATGTAACCAAATAAGGAATGAACAGCCCTCAGTAATTGTACTTTACTGTTTTAATAAAGCTAGACCACCCTTTTCTAATGTAATGTAATAATAGCTACGCTCCATGCTGCTTTAAAAAAAACCTTTATTGGGATAAAGCTGTCCTACCAGTGCAGTCTGGGGGCTGACCCGTCCACGTCCCGTTTGTTGTGCAGTGTCTGGTGGTCAGGCCGGACGTTTTGAATCCTTCCCAACATGCATAAGCCACAGAGCAGCCAAATGTGATGCCATCACTGAAGACAATTCTGCCATGTGCAGGGGTTCCAGGGTTACCACAGGACACAGCTGAAAATAGAGAAACTAACAGTCAGAAGTAGCCAAAAGTATAAACAATTGTCTTCCTATCAGTCTGTCCTGGTCTGATGTGACAATAAGGTTATCTAAAAGAACCTGCTGGAAATAAAATAAAATATCAAATTAATTTAGTCATCAAGGCTGAATATAGACTAAAGGTGGTTGGACTGATTCCCCAACCCTGTGTGGCAGGTCGTCAGGAAGCTGCTCCTAAACTGACAGCGTCAATAAAATCTGCCAAAGTACTATTGTTTAAAACATTAAGAACACACCAAGGTTGGCTGCTGCCTAGCTATGTGTGCTGGCAGAGAATACAAATACTTTGAGACAGCTAGCAGGGTCAGGAGTTTTAATACAGTATATGAGACAAACAACAGAAGCAGATTTTGTTTAGCGTCAGGGCTGCAGAGCTAATTTTTCATTTTTATTTATGGACAAATGTCGTTTCTGACTTGTCTTCAGGACAAAGAGGTCATAGTGTAGAACACTCGATACATTTTATTTTTATTTTTGATAATGGCTGGTTAATGCTGCATGATCCTTTAGAACAAACTGGTGAATATTTTCAATTTTCTTTTAAAGTCCTTCAACAAAACAGGAAGGGACTCTTCAGACTTTTCTAAAGCGGTGTTTTGTGGAGATGCTGTCAGTAATCAAAATGTTACTAGATTATATAAATGGAATATTCTTAATGATATCAATATATGATATTTTCAATGGGCGGCATGGTGGCACAGTTGGTAGACATGTTGCCCCTCAACGAGAAGGTTGCCCCAGCTCAAATACTGGTTCAGGGGCCTTTCTGGGTGGAGTTTGCATGTTCTCTCCGTGCATGCGCGAGTTTTCTCCGGGTACTCCAGTTTCCTCCCACAGATCAAAAACATGCATGTTAGTTTGATTAGTTACTCTAAATTGTCCCTAGGTGTGAGTGAGAGAGTGAATCATTGTTTGTCTCGTTTGTCTCTATGCGACCCTGTGATGGACTGGAGACCTGTCCAGGGTGTCCCCCGCATCTTGCACAGTGACCGCAATTTACCGCATAAGTTTCATGTAAACCATTCCTGGAAATGACATGTACAACAAACCGTGATTAAAACACCTACAGAGTTCTAAAATAACTGTGCATTACAAAATGACAAGGTGAAAAACGTTATTAAACAGCATTTGTAAAAACTGCTATGAAAAGTTTCAGATTGGATTTGTAAAATGACAGGAATCAATTTTAATCTTGGCTGTGTAATCTTGTCCTTAGCTCAACTCTCCCAAGAAAGTTTCTGCCGGATATTTTAAACTAATTATGGTCGGAGCAATTTTTTGATAAAAACTCCAATGAATAGCATAAAAAAAAATATCCATTTTATATGTAGCGACACATCTTTATCCTCAGCATTTCCACAATTCCAAAATTACTGTTTTATAATGGTGGGCATGTCACACTCTAGTAAAATGCATTTTTGGATTTAAAGATTAAAAACTATTATAATCAAGGGAGGGTCCTTAAATGCAGACAGGAAAGGTCTAACATCTGATTTATTAAACTTTAGTTTGCTGGCAAAGCACATTAACAGAATCTGCAGGAATTAGCAACCAACCACAACACATTTCACTAATAGGATCATGACAGTTGACAGGCCTGAACAATCAACCACCTATTGATTAGATTCATTTGTTAGAACCCTTAAAAGCTCAATGCAAGAGTAAATCTTGGTGTTTTCATCTAGCTGTGATGGGGTGATGGGTTGTAGATGCAGTCTGCAAACGTGAATGCATTTGTGTGTGGAAGTGTGTATGGATTTCTTTGTGTTTGTGTCTCAGTGATAGATGTCTCACCCTTTCAGAATCAACTTTTACCCACTATTAGCCTAATGAAAAACAACTGTAGACAGACCTAAATAATTAGCCTTACACCAATAGACACTGACACAGGCAAACAGACACACATCTCAGAGTTGTGTGGGCGTTATTTATTTTTTATCTGAAATTCTAAGACTAGAGGGCGAGATTTTCATGTTGGTTTTCCAGTATGTGTAAACAAGCCACAACTCAGAATAAGAAAAATTAATTTAGAGCTTCTCCGTTATAAAATCTCAAATAAACTGTTAAAGATACTTTATAGTTTTTTTTTTTGCCTTATAGTTTTGTTTTTTTTCTAAAAGGAAATAACGTTTAAAGATATGAAATACTGACCAAAAAAATAATTTGAGTTCTAATTTCAAATGTTCTATGGAATATATATATAAAGCAGTACTGTTAGAAGCCCTGGTATTTTTTCTTACTTAATTGGCAGATGAACTTTATTGACTTAGAACATATGTCGAAATAAAGATGCAAATAGGAGATATGTATATACAACTACAAATACCCGTAATCTATACCAGCACTTTTTTTTTTTCTCCTCTCTTGAACATCAGTGATGTTTTGTGTTAGAGCCACTAAGTGACACTCAGGTGTGCATTGAAACTGTATGACTCACTCTTCCAGTAACAGCCCATCCAGCGAACTGCTTCTAAAACCTGCACAACATACCCGAGTTTGTGTGATTTATTCAACAAAGTTTTTTTAGGAGGGAATTGGAAGGTACCAGATGGCAGCGTGGGATTCCAGTGTCTCTACATCACTGTGAAAACCCACTTTAATTTACCCAAAATTCCCATGGGTTTAAAGAGTTTCTTTTGAAAACTGCTGCTATAAAGAAAGACACTGTATTAGCACAGAACCATAGATGATCCAGTTCATAGCGAGGCACTACAATAGTGCACTTTGTATCTGGGCCACATTGCATAAAAATCCACAAACAAGTTTGAAACTTTTGTAGAAATGGCTAATTCTAGGAATATCCTGCAGGAGGATCATTTTTTTTGCTGAGCTATAAATATTAATTTTGTGAAAGACAATGAAACACCATCTACATAGCTCCATAAATGTTTGATATTTGCTTTACAGTTTTTTTCGAGTTTTAGACTGTTGCGTAAGAGCCATATTAGCTGAAAATTGGTATATTCAAAACTTAGTTAGAAACTTGCTGAAATGCTCATTAATTTATGTTAGTAATCGTGTCATGGCCTGTAGCAATCGGGTACAGTTTTTACAGCTAGACTGCTTTTTGACGGTGAGCCAAGTTGAGGAAAAATGAGGTGCTTCTTGCAACTTTATTTTGAATAAACTGATGTGTGTGTGTGTGTGTGTGTGTTTTATTATTATTATTATTTTTTTAACAAAGTTGCCTAACTGCATCCTGAAATTCCAATATTTGTGGTGATTGGTGCATCTTTGTGGACTTGTGATGTTATGGATCACATATGTAAAAGATCAGAGAAGCTCAGGTGTAAAACATTTGAAGTCTAGGTCTAATTTACTTTATGAATCTAGTTTTTATCTCAGAGCTAGCACATACTGTATAGACAAAGGGCAAGCTTCTCCTATATGTACAATCTACAATAAACAGTATTACATTCATTGCTAATGACTTACTTGTTGATTGTAAGTAGTGTGCCAAGAAAACAGACATTGCTGTATGCTTCTTAACAGGTTTTACTTGTCATATTCAAAGGCTTGGCTGATTAATATTTTTACAGTAGATGCTTCATATCTCTCAATGCACAAAGATTTTGTGCAAAAGGTGGACTGACTCATTTTAGAGCATTGTTATTTTTTGTTACAATGTTTTGAGGAAACTGGGTTGAGACCCACAGGAAATGAGCTAGGAATAACTTTCTAACAAAATGCTTGACCAAGAAAAACAGCTCTCGGTATGTTTTTGTTGTCACATCACAGCCTCTCACATAAATAAAGCAGTAGTATATTTTCCTAATGAAATAAGGTCAATAAAAGTGATTGTATAAATAGAAAACTGTTAACAGCAACACACACACAAACAATCTAGTTTGCTCAGTAGAACAGTCACTTCTTTGATTCTCAATAGTACAAAACCAAGTGACAGAAAAATGCAGATTTTTTGTTGTTGTTGGGTACAAGTTTGTAAGAGATATTTCCAGAGCAAGACCATCAGATAATGGGAGCCACATACATTGCCATTTCTTTACTTCCTACCTTGACACACAGGCTGTGTACCACTCCAGCTGCCATTGTGAAGGCACGTCCTCTCAGCTGAGCCAATCAGATTATATCCTGCCTCACAGCTAAAACGCAGAAGGCTCTTGGTCTTAAATTCTTCCCCTCCCAATCGGGCACCATGAGGAGGGATCCCTGGGTCTCCACATATTCCAACAGCAGCACCTTTAGAGAAAGAGGACACATTAGGCTAATGTACCAAGTGCAACAAAACGTGTATTGCAATGAAAGAACCAAGCACCTCCATACACCTCCAGACTAAGCTACATCCATTTGCACAGCAAACCAAGTTAAATCGAACATTAAAGGAGAAAGAAGAGTTGCATTAAGTTGGAGTCTGTATTCCTTTAAGGGACATGATAAATCGGTAACACTTTACAATAAGGTACACAAAATTTGATTAACTACTGGAGAACACCTCAGGAACGAATCAGGAACAAATCAGAAGTTAATAGGTAGTTAACCAGTACTTACTGGGAAACACACAGCCCAGCCTTATTGGGGACTACTTGTTAGTTACCTGTGAAATGAAGAGGAACTAATCAGGAACTAATGGGTAGTTAACATGGAAACCTAGGAGAAACAAATCAGGAGCTAATAAGTAGATAACCAGTACTTACTGGGGACACACAGCCAAGCCTTATTAAGGGACTACTTGTTAGTTACCTAGTAAATTAAGAGGAACTAATCAAGAACTAATTGGTAGTTATCAAGGAAACTAAAGAGGCACGAATCAGGAGCTAATGGGTAATAAAACAAGTAATCACTAGCAAAGAGGTTTTTGACAATTATGAGCTGTGACCTCACTGGTACAGGGTTTATTCAGAACTCACATGGATAACTTATCCTCTGTTTCTGTGGTAACAAACCAGTAGTCCCCTAATAAGGCTTGGCTGTGTTTTCCCCAGTAAGTATTGGTTAACTATCCATTAGCTTCTGATTCATTTTTCTTTGGTTTCCTTGGTAACTACCCATTAGTTCTTGATTAGTTCCTCTTAATTTACAAGGTAATTAACCAGTAGTCCCCCAATAAGGCTTGGCTATGTGTTCCCCAGTAAGTACTGCTTAACTACCAATTAGCTCCTGATTTGTTTTTCTTTGGTTTCCTTGGTAACTACCCATTAGTTCTTCATTAGTTCCTCTTTATTTACAAGGTAACTAACCAGTAGTCCTTTAATAAGGCTTGGCTGTGTGTTCCCCAGTAAGTACTGGTTAACTACCCATTAACTCCTGATTTGTTCCTTAGGCATTCCCTAGTAGTTGAGCAAATTTTTTGTACCTTATTGTAAAGTGTAACCGAGAAATCTATCTTGAAATCAGCGAGAGGAAATGTTTCTCAGTTGAGCAACTATGCCATCAAAGTCTGCATTTGTTTCTTCAGAATATCAGCAAAATGAAGGTTGTGCTGCAGGAACAGCATCAACACATTTTTTTTCCATTTCAAACCATGAATGTAGTGACACAGGCAAGCATGAATGTACCTCAACAAGTAAACTTTGTAGACCTGTACTTTGCAAGTAGGTCATTCCAAACCATTCCAGCATTTAAGAACACATTATTTTTCACAGTTTAATCAGCAAAATATCATTTTGGGAAATCTGTGAGTTTAACTGGGTATGGCTCCACATGCAGACACTTGCATCTAAATGAGGTCTTAAGCTGCAGGTTGTATTCTGCCCTGCTGAGTGTTCTGTTTTGAGGCCAGCAGCGTAAGCTTATTGCATTTCAGCTATTGAGACAGTAGATGCTGAGTTTGGAAATGATCAGTTTTACTGTGGTGGGGTTTGTATAAACCTACTGCCGAGCAACACTTACAACCTGTTCAGTGAAAAAAAGTTCTTCTCCTTTATATTCCGGTTGTTTCTTACACATGTGGAACAAGCCAAGTAACTCCCAGTAAACAGAAGAATTGCAGGCCCTTAGCCTGTGAAACAGATGACTCTGAAGCTCATGCCATGTTTGCTCTGCTTGCCGTTCTTCCAGTTCAAACAGACCGATCCAAGCACAGGACATTTTGATTTCAACCCTTTATCTGATAATCTGGTTCCAGTTTGATAAGACTCAATTGAGCAGTTTCACTCAGGCCAGTGCTCAGTACTGTATCACTTGTGACTGGTTATAGATCCATATTACTGCACCCGGATTTTTTTTTGGTCAGCTAAAAATGAACTTAGATTTAAAACTAAATCAAGTTTGTACAGTTCTCGAGCAATGCATATTTAAAAGGTATTAGGTTTAGCATGGTATTTTCAGAACCGTATTGCTGTTTTGGAATTTAATTACTTTGATAATAATTATCGATGCCATTTTCTAACAACAAATTACTAGAGTAAGCCATTTCAAAAGGTCTTAAAATGGTCACACATTTTTACCTGTGGCAGTTATTTTTTACAGTATGGAGATGGAAATAAGTAAGGAGGGCAGTGTGGCCTTAGAGTGGTTTGCTTCTGATAAGCCTGAGTCAGGTAATTATAATCAAGGATATAAACAGCTTGCTGCACTTTTTCAGTTATTAAAATGATTAACTGATTTCAAATTATGATGTCTCCTCAGGTGTGTTATTTTTGCCTTGGAATGTGGAATTTATTAAATATTCTCTGGAAACAGTCATGCGGTAAGAGTTACACCTCTCTGTGGTTAAACCGTAAAGACAAACTTTTAGCCACAGCATTCAGTGACCTGGCTGACAGTTCTTTGGTTTCATAACTTGAACATATCCACTAAAAATTAATTTTGTTTTAAAGATTGAGACTTTCACTTACACTATAAATAAGTTCTTGACATGTTTAGTAAATGACAGCTAGTGTTGTATGGCAAACATTTATATGCGTTTCCTGAGGGAAAATAAACATTATTTCTCAAACCAACTGGTAATTAATACATTCATTATGGAAACTTATTTTTAGTAACAAGGTCACGCATGGTCAAAATCTTTTAATTTCCTACTGGCAACAATGCACAAGTAATGTTCACAATATGACTATCACAAAAACTACTTGGACTGCATTAATAGACCATCATTATATTTCAAGTGCCGTGTATTCATGCTCTGCCTGCCAAATATATTTGTGGCTAATTTGATGGATTCACTGCCATATGATGCCCAATCTAAGTTTAGATGTCAGGTACTGCAGTATTCAACAATATCAACGCAACTTAATGTTCCATCAGATTCTGTAATCTCTGCAATACAATTAATAAAGTAGTTTTTGCAAAAACTGATGAGTTCAGTTTGAATTAATTGACACATATTTCCTTGTTGACAATAATTTGATTTCAAAGACTTGCCTATTTTCTCAAGTTGCCCAGTTTAACTTGTACAAAAATCGATTATTAAATGTCTGTTAGTTTATCAGATGGAAATCATATTAATCTGACATACAGCTTCATCAAATAAATTATTATTTACCAGTGCAATAGGGAGGAGCCCCACTCCACGTTCCATCTTCTTGACAGTGGCGAGTAGCATTGCCCACAAGGACACCACCAGGCAGACAGGAGTACTGGAGCACTGAACCAAAGGTCCAACTGTGGGTTCCAGACACTGCTGCGTTAGGTGGTACGCTGGGGTCACCGCAGGAAATAGCTGTACACATGATGAGAGGTAGAAAATGAAAGATGGGGGTTAGTGTTTAACTGCACCCAGCAATAGATTGTGGATAGCTGCATTAGATAGGGCAGCTGTGTTGCTGAAGACAACTAAAAGTAGAGGGTAAATGTCATAGAAAAAAAAAATAATTTAATTTGCTGGCAAATGAGGGAACTGTCAGTTTCACAAAAAGTCAACACATCACAGAATGTTAATATGCCTGTTCTGTTGGCATCAGTTCTGATTTGTCTCGCTTTTACTAAGTTACATCAGTTCACACATAGAGAGAAAAAACTGTGATGTGGAGGGTGACAAACACATCTGCATAGATTGCCTCAACCCACATAGATTGCCCCAATTTTCACAGGTTTCCACAGAACAACCATTATCACACTTGACATAATGTTGTTTCACAGTGACGGTGACATGACATCTTGGATTCTCCATTAGTTTTTCTTTTTTGAGTAAGAGTAATTGTTCTGTAGTGTTAAAGCAACAGACACTGACCCCTGCCACCCCTCCCCTGAAAAAATAAAAAGAGAAAATAGGAAATGTTTGTTTTAAAGAGCACATGTTTCTAGAAGGCACAGATACAAAACAAACAAACTCTATTGTCTTTCTGGTAAATGACTTGTCACCCAGTATCTCCCCTTAGCCTCCAACTTGTATAATTCCTTCCCTTCTTTGCCATCATCTCAGCCATCTGCCCCCGCTCCCCCCTCCAAAATCTCTGATAAGGCCTTGTTTCTCAAACGTAATGCTCTATGGACAGACGTATGTATGTCACTGGAGTCTGCCCCCGTTTTCCCCTTCTGTCTAATGCCTCATTTCTACTTCTCTGTTGCTGTGTTCTCCTCGTGCTCCTTTTCACCTCTTTGTGTTTCTCCGTTCATCTGTGAATCAGCCTCCTTCCATCACTCTCTAGTTTAATCTCAGAGTTTCTATCTGCCATGGTAGATTCCTAACAAGAACATCCATTGCCTTAAGAGACATATGCTCACTTTTTTTTTTTTCTACACAAGCATGCACACATACACACAGAAACACACACAGCTTTAAGCTTTTTTTCTTTCATACTCCTGCCCTTTCTTATGATTACTTCCCTTTCTTTCTTGAACCCTCTTCTTTCAGTTTTTCATTCACTCCTCACAGACATCTTGGTGGCTCTTCAAGCCATTTCACTCCTCATATTGCTTTTCTTGGTGAAAATACAAAATAATACATAGTAATCCATCTGACTGTGATGACATTTCTGCAGGCATCCCCCCCACCCCCCCAAAACTCAGAAAAATGACAAGTAATCTCCGTCATCCATCCATCTGTTCACGTGTGTCAATATAACATGCATAAAATTGCCTTAAACTCCATGTAATACTTACAATGAATATAATGGGTCTGGGTTTGAAGAATTTTGTTATAAAATACCATTTAGTCAGTCACATAACTTACATAAATAGTAACAAAAGGTGAATGTGGTGTTTACTAAATTGTGCATTTAAAGATAACATAAAATCTTTTGATTAGTAGGTCCATCATGAATAGTTGGTCAAGTAATGTGTGGAAACAGGTTTTATCCAACTGTTCCAACAGAAATTAAAATCTCAGAGTTCTGTTAGGTTTTCAAACCTCTTCCTCAGAGGCTGGTCCTCTGTATGAGGACAACCCCGTAATCCCAAACTGAGTGGTGTGGTGTAAGCAGTTCAGTAGAGACATTTTACAGGAATATTCAGACCTCCATATTGGATAAACTAAACAGCTTCTCCACACATCCTCTTCAAAACATGACTCAGTGACGCAACTACATTCAAGGATAAAGGACACTTTTCAAAGAACAAAATGTTCATAATTTTGACAAAGACAAGCGGTAAAGGAAGCAATGTATGTCAAAAGAGAAAAAAAAAAATTAAACAGAGAAGGTGGTCTCAAATTTCAGACTTCAGAAACAGCATAAGCCTGATTCCCAATCAGTTTCACTTTAGTTCCCACCTTCGTGCACTTAACAACATCGTGTGTGCCTGACAAACACAGGTCCTAACAACAGTGGCATGCGGTCAGGGGAGGCAGACATGTCATCATGACAAGTAAAATACTAACAATGATAAAAGAAAGTACATTTGATCACTTGACTGTTCTATAAAACTGTTTTATAAAAGAGTTTTCTGAATTATTTCAACACTTCAATGGTCAAAATTGCAGAATTTACGCATTGCCTGTTCAAGCATGGAAGAAATGTGCTGGGTGAGGGAGTGTAGTGCTCTGGTTCACCTCTGGTGGCGCTGTGTCATATACAATATATAAAGTAGGTGGATGGCGCATGCCCATTGCCGTCTCTCTTTATATCACCAATATACATGTTTGATTACACATATGCTACACATGCTGATGTTCTACAGTCTGTGTAATATATTGAATGAATGTGTGTGACATATTTATTCTTTCTAATCGGTCATAATTGCACAGTGAAAATACACAGGGTGAGGCAGAAAATACCTTGCCTCACCGATTGGGGGCAGTGCTGCCCCTTAGGGACAATGAAGCAGGTGCAGCCTGTCTGTTCTTCTGTTACGCAGTGGGGCAGGGGTGTGTAGCTCGTTTAAATTTGTTTAGACAAAATGGAAGATCATATCTCAAAACAAAGATTTTTCTAAACTCAATTTTTCCAAACTCATTCATCTTAAAATAAAAGCAAGATAATACATGTTTTTTTTTTAATTGATTTAAAAAGAGAGGAGTATGGAGTTGATTAAAGCATAATTAGATGCCTTTTTTAAAAGAAAAGGCTAAATTGAAGTATAAGCTTCTATTTTGGGTTCATATATGTGAGCATCTGATTACAGACGAGCCTCACCAGTCACAAACCTCACCGCACGTCACTGCCTAACAACTCCATTTTGATGCGTTAGTAGTTTGATCTAACCTGCAGCAATTAAAAAAAGCTTGGAACTCCATGCTCTCCAGGTTTTTCGGATTGCAAAACTTTTCAGTCTGATCGTTATTTTTTTTTCTTATTATTTAACATGTTCTGGGTGACTGAGAATCAACACCAGCTTATAAACAAGTGCTTTGGCTCCTTAAATGTGCTTAATGATCATAATATCATTGATATCAACAGCAACTTTAACAATAAGCTGTTTGCTCATCCGGAGCATTCAAATGTATGTTAGAACAATTCCAAGAAAGAAAGAATTCATCAATTTCTAAATAAATAAATCCTTGCTTTGTAGAAAATATTTATGAGATGATGTCCAAACAGTTTAGAGACATACGTCTAGAATGGTACAGCTTATTTAGGAAAAATAATAATAATAATAATAATAACACTGATGAGTCATCTGACCATTGTATGATCAGTAAACAGGAGTTATATCTACAGGCCTTACCTAAAATCTAAAATCATAAAGACAGTACAATTAAATTCAAAATACCAAGCAAACATTTTTTGTTTTTTTAAGAGGTGCCAGAAGAAAAGGTATTCTCTTTAAATAAACCACAGAGAATGACATTTAGCTAGAAAAGTTGCCAGGGAACAAACCTCAGGACTTTTTGAGCAATGTCTTTCTAACAGACTATACTAATTTAAAGATGTTTAGTGCCATGTTAGGCAATAACTAAATGTACAAAACAAGCTTTGTTTTGTTTTGATTACTCTTAAACTATTTAAAAAATACTAAAAATGTAACACTGTTAAAAAATGAAATGACCTAATGACAGCGAACAACTGTTGCAATTTTTTTGTTTTCACATTTATTATATTTTTTTCTTTTCTATGCACAACCCCTGATATTTTTACTTTTATTACCCTTTAAGGCTACTAAATCCAGATGTTTATTGGAAGTTTTTTTTTTTTTACTCTGTTATTACAATGGCTTAAAAAATAATAAATAAACTTTAACCATACCTAAGCAGCGAGGAATTGGTCGGTCCCACAGTCCATTATGTTGACATGTGAAGACAGCAGAACCAAGCAGATAAAAGCCTCTTTTGCAGTGGATGGCCACAGTCACACCATAGCTGAAGATTTCTGGGTAACGTAGACCAGACTGGCGCACGCCGTTCTCCACATGGCCAGGGTCGGAACAGTTCACCACTGAAGAGAACAGAATACTTTGTTATAGCAAGTTGTACGTACAAAAAAATGTTTCCCTGAACCAAACACAGATATCAGAAGATTTCACAAGGCTGCATGTTTATTATGACATATTTAAAGATTTTTTTTTTAACATATTATACCCCCAAAGTTCATTGATTCAGTCTTCTCTTTAAGAACAAATGTGATGTAATGTAAAAATGAGGTATTGAACAATCAATGTAGAAAGGAAGCAGTGGCTATCCTTTTAAAAGGGCACAACAAGTTCTAACTTCTTACTTCAATTTTAAATTTCATGAGTTAAATGACACTGAAAACAAAATAAACACTTCTGAGTGTAATGAAGGTCTGAGCGTCTTTCATGGTCTGACTGTATTACCATTAACCCTCGTGTTTCTATTATTCCACTCTTGTTGTTTCCTGCTGTTTTCCTTTACTTAATGTCTACAGGTGGCTTGCTGAACTTCCAATTTCTCTCTACACCTGTGGCTCAAGTATTTGACTTCCCCAGTGTGCAACGCTTTGGATTCAAGCCTAGTTTTTCAGTATACCCCAAGCAGTACAAAAATAAAGCAATTTTTATTGTTAGAGAAATAGGTCTGATTGTTTGAACTGGGGTTCTGTTGAAGAGATACGAACAGTTAACATCAGAATTCATGCTCAATAATCCAGGAAAAAAAAATCCAACATAGTTAAGTCAGGTCATCTGGTCAATAATTATGAACAGTTAATAGTTTACCTACTTTAGATAGCTCTTTGGCCTCAGATTGGAGGAACAGTTTGATTAAGTTACAACTAATTTGAAACCACAGTGGATTTCAGTCATCTTTAGAAAGCTCCACTCTAACAAAATGTAACTGTGGTTCATACAAACAAATTGTGTATACATTTACACCACCAACAATTTTACATTACAGTAGTCCCTTATTTATCACGGGGGATCCGTACCCTGAAGTCCTGCGATAAGTGAAAAATCGTAAAGTAGGGATAGTAGTACAAGTAGTAAGTAGCAGTTTAT